TCTTCCCTACAAAGTCGATCAGGCTTACAATAGCCTTTGATATTTTGTCCTTTTTCTCTTCTGAGACTAAAAGTTCATCTACATAGTGTAATAACTGTTCCTGCAGGAAGTTGGAATTCCTCCAACACTGCTTCTAAGATCTGACCAAACAAGCTTGGGGTCTCCATAAAGCCCTGGGGTTATTTCCTTCTATTTGTAGGGTTTTCTCATTCAAGAGCAAAAAGGTCTCTATTTGGGGGGTCTAAGAGGATAAACCGAAAAGGCATCCTTTAAATCTACCTGACTAAACCATTTGCATTCATATGGGATCTTGTTGAGGAGGGTGTAAGGGTTGGATATGACAGGTGATGGGCCTGGATGATCTGTGTAGCCTATGTAATCCATTGGGCTCTTTGGGAGAATTGGGATGTTGTATGGTGATGTGCATGGTCCATCCCTAATTAATCCTTCTATCACTGGTTGTATGGTACTGCCTTCTGCTAACCACCTCTCCAGGTTGTTTTAGCTCAGTCTTCATTTGTGTAATTTGCACACACACACAGCCCATTAAGGAAGATCAATTTCCTTTTCTTCTGTTTTTAAAAGGGCCATCGTCATCTTAAACTGTCCTCCTTCTACTTCCAGACCTAGGCCTAGCTTCACAATTAGGTCTGTACCCAAGATCTTGGTACCTGCTTCAGGAACATATAAGAATGATCCCTCAGCCTATTCTGATCCAAACTGGATAAAAACTGAATCAAATTTCCCCCATAAAGTCAGCATTGAACCTAACTACTGAAGTTGACTTGGTTCTTATCCAACTTGGTTTGTGACCAGAATCATGGAAAGAATCAAGTTCATGAACTGACGTACCACTGTGCATATATATATATATAACTAGGTACACATGCATCCCCTTAATTACTCAAATATTGGAACCTGAAATCCCTCACCTTTTGCCCCCCCCAAAGTAATAATTTTTCCCTAAGAACCTTATGCCCTTTGATTAAAAAGTTAGCAGCAAGAAGCTCTAAAATTGACCAAAAATATGGCCTTCTTCTATGTAGGTGCCACCCTTAAATTTGCCAGGGATTCCTGGAGGAACTACTTAGAAAGAACCCCGACTCTCCTAATCTTTATTGATTAAAGTCACAAGAGGGGATCACTTTCTCTATGTTTTTCCATTCTGTATACTCTCTTAAAATGCCCCGACTTCCCACATTTAAAATATGCACTCATTATCTTGAGGTTCTCCCCCAGGACTGCCCTTTTGTTTTCCTACTGAATTCCACCCTTTCCTTGTCTTGTTTGTGTGGAGTCTAAATCTACTTTCCCTTTAAACACTTCTTTTACAGTAGAGACCATGATTTTCCCTTTCTGCTTTTCCTCTTCCCTCTTTACAAAGACTTTTGGGCCTCGCATAATAATTATTCAATTGGTTTCTCATTCCATCCCGCAGTCTTTTATAACTTTTTAGTAATATTAGGCCAGAACTTGGTCACAAAATTTACTGTTAGGAGCCCTTGATCTACATATTTGGGAGTGCCATTAGTAAATCATACATTTTTAAAAATATAAACTTCATCCTCTTTACCCTTTTTTCCAACATGATTGGACCTCCTAGTTTTGTCACTATCTCTCCTTTTTCTATCCTGGTTGCACAAAATGTGTCATACAGAATTCTCTCACACCAAAAATGTCTTTTTATACTTTTTGGATTTTCTTCTTTATCCTACTTATGAGTTTCTTTCTATATAACAAACCTACCAGCCATGAAGATTTTTAAAGGACCCAGGTACACTGTGTTTCTCTTGATCTTAGAGTGAGTTTATAAATGGTTACATTCTAATTAGGGTGGGCTGCCAACAGACTTCCAAGCGACCTTGAGTCACATCCTCATCTGAATTGAAGTAGAGAGCAACAGAAGAGCAAGTTAACCCTGTAATAGCAGCTCAAGAACTATCCACTGTATAAGGAATGTTTTAAGCATACCAACTAACCAAAAAATACCATGTCAAATTGGAATATAAAAGTAAGTTTGTCAGTCAGCCAAATTTGAGACAAAAGACTAAAGGTGTGCAAATTGGGCTGATAAAAATACCAGTGTTTAATTGTCTTTTGTTTTTATCTTTGGTACAAGGGTTATCCCTTGCCCCCAAACCTTTTATTCTCCCCAGTAGACTATCTGGAGAATGTCAGGAGAATCCTTCTTTCCTCTTTCTTTGGTTACCCAGGCCTAGAATTCCTCATTTTCTGCTGGTCTCTGTGACTTAGTTTCCCTAAGTGGTGAAGATTTCTTGCACAGCCTATGTACTCAAGCATGCTGGGGGTTTCTTGTGCACCCTGTGCACTAACTGCCCTCCCACCCTGCCACAATGGAGGTTTCTTGCCCACATCTCAGTCAAAAATGCCCAAATCACCATGGCAGTACTTCTACTTCACTTTTTATAGCTTGTCTCATGCACGAGATTGCTTGATTGTCTCAGTGCCTGTTTTATTTCCCTCTGTGTCAGTTTTGCTGCCTTCAGAACAATGGCATTGGATGTCTAATGGCTTCTGCCAGGAGATGGAATATACTGCCATACAGGCCAGGTGAAAATGAGGTGGAACATGTCTCCTTCTCCACTGAGACCCAATACTGGTGGGCACAGATCTCCTGGGAGAGCCACTAATTGTGAAATATGGTCTCAGAAGCAAGTAGAGAAATGAAAGGGAAGCTTTGATCAGCTTTGCAATGGCAGATGTCTGCTAAGCAGGCACCCAGAGAGGTCACAGCGAGGCATTTATCCCCGAACACACAACTCCCTTCCTTACAGTTCCTTAATGCCCAAGTACTATGAGGGTACAGTCTTCCCAGGTGCCACCTAAATTTTCTTTTTCTCTTTCTCTTTCCTGGTACCCCTCCCAATTTGAATTTGGTTTTCTTCATAATACTGTCTGTTCTTTATTCTGGGACTTTCTGAGAAGCCGATGTTCCTAGTTAGAGATTTCATGCAACCTTAGGTGTTTCTACTCAGCTATAGCTAGCCATCCAGCCTACATTTTTGTCCATGTGTGGCACTGGGACCCAACTTGTATGTAGTGCCTTAAATTCCTTGATTTCTAACAAGGGTTTGGGTACACACAGGTACATAGTAATTATAATTGAAATGGTTTGGGATATGGCAGTAACTAAATTTCAAGAAGGTACCAGGAATCTGTAGTGGCACTTGTCTATAATCCCAGCACTCAGGGAGACAGAGTCACAAGCACCCTTATCTAATAGAACCTGGGCAACATTATGGATAACTTGTTTCCAAATACACTAAATAAAAGGGAGGGGAGGCAGCTCAGTGAGAAAATCTTAGACTCAATCCCTGGGAACAAATAAAACAAACAGTTGGCAGCCACTCATCTTTGCTTCCCTGCCTCCATACACTTCTCAAGTTCATTCTCATGTTGTGCTAAGGTGGGACTGTCTGAACATTAGCACAGAGAATGAGAAGTATTTGACATCCAAGATTAGTTCAAAAGACACTATGGCTTCCATCTTGTGCTTCTCCCTTTCTCATTAGAGAAAGCACTTGAACTGAAAATATCCATGTCCATATTTGAAAAAGTCTGGACTATGATATGACTGAGTGCTTCTCAGTTTCTAATCAACATGAGCTATGTAATGTAGCCCTAGACCATGTCCAGGTACCATTTATTGTCATTTGTAAAGTTCCCTGGGCTTAAACTATGAAACACTGTCCTGTTTAAATTACTTTCAATGTTCTTCTTCATCATTCTCTTAGAATGTTTTACTGTTTATCCTTATAATCTTCAAATCTTCACACTGTAATGGTGGATTTTATTTCCGCAACTGTTCAAATGCTATATGTAACAGTGATCAACACATGATGTCATTTTTAGGTAAGCCTTTAAATTCAATTTTATAACATAAAGAATACATACACATTTTTTCTGAACACATCCCCAGAAACTCTGTGTGTAAATATAATTTCATTTTATCATAAACTGTATCAAACCCAGTGACTCCTTTCCTTCCCTACTCACTGTGGTCAGCTATATATTAGTCTATCATCTGTACTATTAATTTCCATGCATCTATTTGTCCATTCATCGAAATAGGCATATGTCATAAAAAAACGGTAAGTTTGAGGGGTTTGTGGTTGTATACAAAGATGACTATAGACATAGTAATTTGTCACCTACTTGAAAAAACATTTTGGGGAATCTTTATATTAGTATAACAATTGTGCAAATCTGGTATTTCATAGTTAGCAGTTTCCTCACTGAATAGTATCAGGTCTCACTAATATTCTAAGAAACTCAAAAACCAAGTTCAGGACTCAGTGAGTGTTCCAAGGGATAACTGTAAACATTCTAGATGTGATTTTAAAGATATTATTGAACTTACATCTCAGTCCTTAGTTTGTAAAGGAGGTGTTGATGTCAGGTAACCAACAAGACTGGAGTGACATTGAAGGAACTGACATACTTAATGGCATATTCTCAGGAACTGGAGCACAATGCCATGAGTTTCTTTGGTGAGTCTTTTGTCTTGGTACCGAGGAGATTTGATTCTACTTTACCTGCTTTGTTGTCTTTATAGGTAGAAATTATCCTGTCTTGACCCAAGGCATATTTTTTGCCTGACGGCAGCAGAACCAACTATCTCTCCTTGATGATTTCCTTTTCTCAGCCACTGAGGTGAACTGGACACACATTGTCCAACACTCTTCCCACTGCATTCAGGGTCTCCTGCTACCCAGGAACAACACCATGCTCCTTCCTTATTGTCCGAGGCCATTTGCCTAGAAAACCCACAGGCTCAAGAAAAATCTAGCTTTTTATGCTAATTGTTGGATTTTGAGCAGTGTACTTCATATCTCTCCTGTACAGAAGGATTTTTAAAGGCACTTACCCCATAGTCTTGTGGAGAATAGAAAATAGTATGTCCTAAAACATTAAGTAGAGATTCCTGGGTTGCAGGCATCACTCAAGTGTTAGGTGGTGTATATATCCTAATGAGAATCCTTCATTTTTCTTCCTAGGAGGTGATTCCTGTCACTACCACTGACCAAAAACCATCCTAGGTCAGAGGGTCTCTGACCCCGGTGGGCAGGGCCACTCAGGGGCTTCGGCCCTTGAGTCTCTCCATTTGTGGAGTTTCTGGTGAGGGTGCAGTTTTCCTCATCAACTCCTTAAGGTGAGTGACACACTTGGCTTTCGTTCTCTGTGTTTTCTCATAACCTTGATACATAAAACCTGCTGTGTTCTACAGTGCACATGTCAGAGATAGTAAGAGAGTTTTCAGGCAGAGCAGGGGACAAGAATAAAGATTGGAAATAAGACATACATGTACTTCCAAGTCTCAGTAAAGAGGAAGCCCATGCCACTTAGAACTAAGCGGTACCATCTTGGTGGGACACTTAGCAGAATTGGAGAAAGGGGTTACAGAGATTGTGCCAGAACTTCTGTTTGGCTACTGAGGAAACAGCAAGCCAGAGAAGAGTTGGTGGTTTAGAAATGAGTGGCAAATTGTGATATTTCCGTTGGGCTTTGGTTGGAGATTTTGGTAGATGGTGGCACTATACCCTGGACAGCAGAAAGGGAAAATAAATATTAGGGATATACCCTTGTAAAAGAGTTAGCTAAGGAAGTTCCTGAGAGTATAGACTCAGGAAAGGTCTGTTTGTATAGGAAAAACATGCCTCTGATGGCTATCTTTGTGCTTGGAAGTGAGGCTATCCCTGGCCAGAATGCTGGCCAGAATACTCCCAGGTCAGCAAGCTCTTTGAGTTTCAAACATCGAAAAATACAAAAAAGTAAAAAGCATTCTCCCATCCTCCACTCCAGCACCTTTCCCTCCTTTCTCCCATCTTCGCTTTCAAGGATATCACCAATTTTCTAGCTGAATTTTATATGTACCTTGAAAGCTCACTGAAGGCAGACCCTCTTTAGCAGAAATTCCTTGTTTTCTCCCTGATAGGCAAAGATAACCTTAGGTGGAAAAAAGGGAAAGTGTTTCAAGACACCATAGTTGTTATAGATAACTAAATGTTGGATTGGGTCATTTTTACAGATTGGAGTATCATCCCTTGGACTAGCAGTATTTCTTGCCTTGAGGCAGCAGAACCAACTGTTTTTGTTTTTTTTTTTTTTTTTTTTTTTTTTTTTTTTTTTTTTTTTTTTTTTTTTTTTTTTTTTTTTTTTTTTTTTTTTTTTTTTTTTTTTTTTTTTTTTTTTTTTTTTTTTTTTTTTTTTTTTTTTTTTTTTTTTTGACAACTTTCCATTTTTCAGCCCCCGAGATGACATGGACCCACATCCTAGAACCCTAGTACCCCCAAAGTATTCTGGAGCTCCTGTAACACAGAACTGCACCTGCTTTTACCATCACGTAGGGCTGAGCCCATTTGCCTAGGAATCCTCTCATTCACCCACATCCCAGTGAAGAACATGTTTTGATACTAATTTTTCGATTGTGAGCAATGCCATTTACATCTGCCTTGTAAAATGGAAGTAGTGTTGGAACTAACTCCATAATTCTGTGCATAGCAGCAGTATGTGACATGTCTGAAACACAGAGGAGAGATGCTTGGGACATAGTCATCTCTCCAGTGTTCACTGGCATAAATGTCCTTTCCTAATGACAGTCTCTCATTTTTGCCCCAGGAGGCTGATTCGTGCCACTACCACTGACCAACATCCATCCTAGTTCAGAGGGTCTCTGATCCTGGTGGGCAGGGCACTTTAGGGCCATTACCCTTTGAATCTCCCTGTTAGTGGAGGTTCTTGTGCAGATGCTGTTCTTGTCATCAACTCCTTAAGGTGAGTGAGACACTGGCTTTCCTTCTGCCCTATGGTCTCACAACCCCAGTCAATGAAACCTACGGTGTTCTAACAGTGTAGATGTTGGAGATAGGATTAGAACAAGTTTGCAGGCCCAGTAGGGGATAAGAATGCAGTTTGAAAGGGGAAGAGATTTAGCTATTTCTAAATTTCAAAGAAGAGGTTGCCCATGCCAGATAGAACCAAGAAGAAGCATCTACATGGTCGAAGATGAGAAAGGAGAGGTTGAGCCAGAACCTTTATTAGGCTTTCTGAAGGTACAGCAAGCCAAAGCAGAGTCAACAGTTCAGAAATGGCAAATTGGAATAATTATGCTGGGTATTGTTTGTTGGGAAGGTCAAAAGATGGTAGCACTAGGCACCAGATGCTTTAGAGGAGGGGAAATCTAAATGATGAAAGATCTTGTAAGAGAATGTTAGATGAGGATGGTGTTGAGAGTATAGACTCAGGAAAGGTTTGTTTGTAAAGGAAGGACATGCCTCTGGTGGGATTTTTGGTGCTTGGAAGAACTGGTTAGCACTGGGAAGGTTGTACCTTCCATGGCAGCAAGATTTTTGTTTGTTTGTTTTTGTTATCAGGAATCAAACTCGGGGCCTTAAGCTTGCCAGTCAGGTTCTACACTGCTAAGCTATGTCCCCAGCCCTGTAGTGAGATGTTTTTAGGCATCCAAACATCATAAAATACAGAAAGTAACAGGCACTCCCATCCTCCACCCCTGCACCATTGCACTGTTTCCCCCAGCATCTCTTCCTTGGGAATGTCACTTATTAGTTTCCTGTTTTCCATAAGCAGCTTGAAAGTTCACTGAGGGCAGGCAGTCTTTGATACAAATGCCTTTGTTGTTTCCCTGATGGGCAGAGACAACCCTAGGTGAATGGAAGTGAGTGTTTCTAAAAAAAAAAAAAAGGCATTATAGATAAATAGCCACCGGTCATCTTTACAGTTTAGAGTATCCTTCCCTAGACCAACTATAGCTCTCACCTGAAGCTAGCAGAACCAACTGATTGTCATCATTGACTTTTCATTTTTCAGCCACTGAGCTGAGCTAGACCCACATTGTCTTAACGCCCTTCCCACAGCACCCGCAAAAGTTCACTCTGTCCCTTTACCATCAGTCAGGGCCAAGCCCATTTGCCTAGAAAATTCTTCCAGCCTTGTGAAGAATGTGTGCTTTAAAGATACTAAT